GGACAGGATCCACCTGCCCCCGGACCGGGCCCGCGAGCCGGGACCGCCGCGACCCTGCAGCCGCCGAAAGCCGCGTGCAGAGAAAAAACCTCAATTAGGGAAAGAGTAAACAGATGTGTGTAAAACACGAGAGCTGCACGGGAGCGGTGGGGAAGCTCAACTTCGCCCTTCGTGCGAACCGATTCGTTCCTCTGTCTTTTCCGTCGCGGGTTTATGGCCTGTTATAACCCAGCCTGAAAAGGGATGTTGCTTTTCCAGCCCTGCTTGGGTAACAGTCTTGTTACTCAGTGTGCGGCTCTGTCCATGCACTCACACGACATCAGAGTGAGACTTAAGATCGTTCTCTTTTTTTCCCCGTTACTGTGATACTAAGTTTTCCACAAACACTAATTCTCAGTCTGCATTTCTCCGACCTGCAGGCTTTCCCACATCCAGCCGGTGCAGCCTTATGAGCTGCCTGGAGTCACACAGGAGCAATGGGAGCAGGATTTCGGAACCCACAGCACACATCCTGGGTGTGCGACGGCACCATGACACGCTGGCAGGGAGGATGGGCTCTTTGGAGACAGTCTCTGGTTTTCCAGAGACTTTCAAATGTGAGGAGTCAGAACTTGGGAGAATGGTGGTTTGTGCTGGTGGGGAGCCTGGCAAGCTGAGGCCTGGGAAAAGTGATGCTGAGGCAAAATGTTCCCTTCCAAAAGGAGAACGCAGATCTGGTGGTCAGAAACTTGCAGGTTTGTCACACTCACCATTGGAAGTGGTTAAAGCTACCAAGTCTCTTGTTGGCCTGGTGGATTTGAATTATTCCTGCAGTTTTTATTTCTACCCCCACCCCAAAGAGCAAAAAAAACCCCTAACCCTGTTGCTAAATAATTGCTCTGTTCTCACAGGTGAGCAGTGAAGCTCAATTAATTCTGCTTTGTGAAGTGCTTCTGATCCTCTGATGGAAACATGTAGGGGCAAAACACTTTTATTTTGCAACTTGCAAAGGCTGATAAGAGTGATGAAAACGGAAAAAGCCTCACCACTGAGGGGGATTACAGCCCCACGCTTTTTCCACTTGAGATCTTAGAGATGAGCTGATGGCTGCTGCTTTTCGTTTAGAAGGGTTTTTCCCCCTCTTTTGAAAGAAACACAATCACTACCAAGTATTCTAGAGGGACTTCATCTTTAAACAAATACTGTTTTTCTTGTTGGGTGTGCACTATTATTTTCTTAATTATTCCTGGATTTCTGCCTGTTCCACCAAGAGTTTTCTCAGATGGCAGAAACAATTGGTCCTTTTTTATTATACTAATAGCAAAAAGTATCCCTAATAAAAAGGCTCTGTACATCCCATAAACTCAAATGGGACACATTTTGCCAACAATCACACCTCTTCATTGAGGCATCATATATGCTGCTTTTTTTTTCTTAAACTTTTTTTCCACATTAC